CACAACAGAGAGTCCCTGACGGGGCAGGAGAAAGGTAGGGTGCAGAACTCAAATTCTAGTAAGAAGACCAGATTTAATGGTCTGAGACTGGAGGAACCCCAGAAAGCATGACCCCTGAATGTCTATCAGCCCAGAACTAAAACAATTTTCGAGGCCAACTCTTCAGACAGGGATTGGACTGGACTGTGGGACATAAAATGATACTCGTGAAGAGTGTGCCTCTTAGCTCAAGTAGATATATGAGACTAAACGGGCAGCTTCTGTCCGGAGGTGAGGTGTGAAGGCAGAGAGAGTTAGGATCTGGTTGAATGGACATGGGAAATCAGAGGTGAAAAGGAGGAGTGTGCTGTCACAGTATAAGGAGAGCAATTAGGGTCACATAACAATGTATGTATAAATTTTTGTATAAGAGACTAACCTGAAATGTAAACTTTCACTTAAACTACAACAATAAAAATAAATAAAAGTATCCTGTCTTTTCCTGCCCTAAACATATTTCTGTTAAAACCAAAACCAAACCCGTTACTGTCAAGTCGGTTCTGACTCATAGCAATCCTATAGGACAGAATAGAATTCACCGTAGGGTTTCCCGGCTGGTGAATTTGAACTGCCGACTTTTTGGTTAGCAGCGAAGCTCCTAATAACTAGGCCACCAGGGCCCCATATTTCTGTTAGGGATGTTAAAAATTATCAAAACTCTTAAGAACTATCTGTATAGTTCTTATGTAGTTCTTGGGATCGAAGTGACAACAGCAACTTGAAAAATTAGGAATTTTAGGGGGCAGTGAGTTTATGTTAACGGAGGAGGAACAACTCAGAAAAGGGGGGCGAGAATGGATACACAACTCAAAGAATGCAATCAGTGTCACTAAATTGTACATGCAGAATGTGTTGAATTGGTGTATGTTTTGTTGTGTATACTATCAACAACAACAACAAAAGCAACCAAAATTCAAAGAAATTGAAACGTAAGGTTTATTCTGAGCAGTTATTCTACTATGCATATAAATAAGGGGACCATTCTGATTCCAGAAAAAAGCAAATGGCTCAAAATTTGCTTGTTACAATGAAGCTTATAAAAAAAGGAGAAGAATGGAAGATCAACCGTTGATGAATCTTACTATGACTGACTGAACCCTGCATTCCCCCTTTTACTGAGATCACCTGATATCAGGTTGGAAGGAGTTTGAACAGGGAAGAAAAGAATAAAGAATAACAACTTCGGGTAAAAGAAAAGCCACTGGCAAGATTAATTTTGGTCAGGAATTTCTTTACAGTGAATATTTGCTTTTGTTGTAAGAAAACCTTAAAATCAAAGCAAGATATCTGTTATTAATTTTTCTCTTTGACAAGGTAAAAATTGGCCTCTTTTGGGATGTTCTGAATTTAGAAAAACCAAAGCAGTGGAGGTTAATGATGCTGATTCTTTTATATATAATTGTAACGGATCTATTGAAATTTCCAAGATACATTGGCTAAAACCCATAGATAAAAAATAACAATTTTTTTCAGATTCAGTGTATATTATTCAATAAGATAACCAACCCCAAACCAGTTGCCGTCAAGTCAGTTCCGACTCAGCACCCCTATAGGAGAAAATAAAACTGCCCCATCGGGTTTCCAAGGAGTGGAGGGTGAATTTGAACTGCCGACCTTTTGGTTAGCAGCCGAGGTTTTAACCACGACGCCACCAGGGCTTCATTCAATAAGATAGTTAAAATTAATTACCAAATTGTGCCATGCAATGTTTGCTCCAGTTTGGAGCCAATCTTGGTTTCTTATTAGCGGGGAATCTGTTCAGCAGATGATCTCCAACCATTTTCGTTCTCTGTATCACTGCACTCAAGATTCCTATTCCCAGGAAGGAAATTCTGATTGGCTTATTTAGGTGATGTGCCAATTATTGGTCCCCTTGATTGACAGACCCACCAAGACTATGTCCAGTAGAAAATGGATAGGTAAAGAGAAGGAGGAAATAGATAATGGACAGGCATAAGTCACAGATGTCCATTGCAAGAGATTACCAAAAGTTTTCCCAGTCAGGTATCCAAGTTACTTAGGATATTGGGATCCACAACAGGGTACAGGAAATGGGAGTTCACAACTCCAAGTCATACAGTCAGAAAGGCACTGACCATTAGGATGATGGAGCAAGCACACACCAAAAAAGCCTGTTTATTATTTGCATGTTATCGGTAATAAAGCAAAATATATTTACAAGCACTTCATTGGAACTGCAAAGAAGGGATAGCCTTAAAGATTTTCAGAGTAAAGACAGTACATGAAAATTAGGCCTGTTTTATACAACATGTTCTGAAGTAGCATTGATATTTTATTTCATTCATATGCCACTTTTTTTTGGTTTTATTAACTGGCTTTACAGATTTATGGGAAGAGGCATTAACCATTGTTTAATTAATAAGTTTTTGCTGCTGCTTACTTACAGCATGCTGCACAGAGCTGCCAAGTGAGAAGCAGCTAAACCATTGCCTGCCCTTTGGCTGTGTTTTTCCTTCTCACAGAATCATAATATGCATGGTGTTCTGAATCCCACGAGCTCTCTATCCTTGGATTTCAGCCACTCTAGAGGATGACACTCAAAGTATTTGAGCTGTCCCCCAGGGTGCTTGAAAGTGAATTTCACGTATGCCACATACTCTGTATTTTAAATCAAAATGTCCCGAGCGTAAGTAAAAATCTACCTGCAGTGATGCAATAACAGACAAATTGAAATTGGTTTTACTTAAATAGATTCACACACATATACCCCAAGTCCTCCAAAGCTCTAATTTGTGAAGGGTTAATGAATTACCCTACAATGGGAGTTCTGGAACATAACCTCTGAAATTTGTTTTAATCATAATTGAATGTGGCCCTGTTAAAGGATATCACTGGAACCCAGCAGGGATGTGACTAGGACAGCAGGGATGTGATGAAATCCCCCAACAGAGTCCCAAGGGTTAGCAAACAGAGCCACTTGGGTGGCCGGATCATTATCCTTCTGTGGCTGCCTGTGCTTTTCCACCTCTGGGAATTTACTGGAAGCCATTAATGTATTTACTTCCCCATTACTTGCTGCTCCTTTATGTGTTCAGCATGTGGTTCTTTTACAGGAGGATGGACGATATGAAGGCCCAACTTTGGCTCATGCCGTGGAGTTGTTTGGAGGCAGACGATGGAGTACTCGAAACCTCAGCCCTGGAACATCAGCCAAGAGTGCTGAGAAGCCCAACATGCAGAGAAACAACACCCTGGGCATAAGCAGCTCCAAGAAAAAGAAGAAGATTCTCACGAGGGTAGAGTATCCCGTGTTTATTAAGCATAAAACCCAATCCTCTGGGACTGTCGTATGGTCTACATCTCCATAAGTCACTTTAGGTCATTTGGATTGAGGAAAAGATGGAGTATGAAACAAAATACAAGAGCTTACCAAGTACTTCCTGGGTGCTGGGCCCAGTGCTAGGAACTGAATCAACTCAAGGAGAAAGATGGGGTCCACAGAGGGATGCAGACATGTAAACAAATACAGTGAGATCTAAATGAGAGTCATTACTGAGTCTGTCTGCAAAGTGCTATGGAAACAGAAAGAAGGAAAATAAAAGGGTAAGAGGCAGGCAGGGAAGGTTTCACAGGGATGTTGACTGATGGGTTTTGAAGGATATACAGGAGTTTACCAGGCAGACAAGATTGGGGAAAGCGTCCTTGGCAGAGGAGACAGCATGAAGGCATGAAAGACTTGACTTATTTAGGGAAGCAAGTGTGGTTCTGGGTGATTGGAGAATGGGCTCTATTGTGGACAAGGAAGGCTAGAAAGGGACAGTGCGATCAGATTATGAAGGTGCTAGTGGACCAAAATGCTATATGTAGAAGACAATGTAAAATATATTATCACGTTAGCCCAAATAAAGTGATGGGGTTTTGCTTCATGGTCTTCTAGAGTCCTACTCTTTGCATATGAAAAACCAAAACCAAACCCGTTTGGAACTGCCCCGTATGGTTTCCGAGGAGTGACTGGAACTGCTGACATTTTGGTTAGCAGCCGTAGCTCTTAACCACTAACTACGCCACCAGTGTTTCCCTTTGCATATAGGAGGTTGTTCATGCTAAAGGTGAACTTTACCTGCTTCGTAATTCTGTCTGTACACGGAGATTCTAGAGGTTCTGTCCCTCCTCTGCTCTGCCTCCCTCCCCTGAGGATCACTGCCTTATAGTGAAGAACAAAGGACATAATGTAACATGAGAATACGTTGTCAGACTTAATGTAGGTCTTTACTGGTTTCACTATGGGTAGGGGCAGTGTTGAAGGTGAGTAGGTCAGGAAATTGAGACCTGCCTAAACTAAAGTGGGGCCCTGGTGGCACAGTGCTTAAGCATTTGGCTGCTAACCAAAAAGTTGGCAGTTCGAATCCACCAGCCGCTCTTCGGAAACCCTATGGAGCAGTTCTACCCTGTCCTATAGGGTTGCTATGAGTCGGAATCAACTCCAAGGCAATGGGTTTGGTTTGGTTTTTGGTTTAAAGTAAAGCAGTGATGGGAGAGAAATACAAAGTTGTGAGTCTTCTGTTCTCAGGGTGAGAGTGGAGAGGTAACTGATGATGAGATGGCGACCCGGAAGGCCAAGACATACAAGGAGTGTCGACGCCGGAGTGGTTCTGATCCTCAAGATACTAACGAACAAGAAGAATCAGGTAAAGTGGCATTTTCACATCTGAAATAGATTTTTTTGTTTTTTATTTTGTGGGGAAAAAATACGCATTTGGTTTTAAATGGCAATTTAAGTGTTGTGGGCACTTGTAACAAAACTCATTATCTTGTTAGGTATACTTACCTTTGTTTTTCACCAAATGATGAACCCCAAGAGATGTTTTTGCAAGCATAGTGTACTTGGAAGAAAATTATCATTAGCTAACTTATTATTGCTGAAAAGGAATATTGTATATACAAGATGCAGTTTAATGAATTACACTGGTGATATTCAACTCTGCCTGGATATTAGAGCTTGTAAAAAAAAAAAATCTAGATAATCTTTAAACTTCAAACCTTAAATCAAAACTATCCCCTGGAGTCTTCTTTGAGCCAAAAAATAGCTTATCTTAATTAGTAAAGTACGTCCATCCACTTTGAGCATTGTCCTGTTTTAAAGAGTTAGCTATGCGAGATCAAATTGACAGTGACAACTCAAACGGTTGGATGGGAAGTTTAGAGGGCAGTGATTTAAGATAATGATGGTAGAATAATTTGAAGAAGGATAGCAAGAATGGTAGCACAACTCGAAGAATGTAATCAGCATCACTAAGTAATATATGTAGAAATTGTTGAAATGGTGTGTCTTTGGCTATGTATACTTTCACTAAAATAAAAAATAAAATAAAATATCTAGATGCCCTGGCCACACCCTAGACCAATTGAATCAGAATCCCTCTCGCTGGAACCTAGACATCTATATATTTTTTAAGCTCCCTAGATGATTCTAGTATATAGCCAGGTTGAGAGCCCACCAGATTAGTCCTTTCATCAAAATATCTTGATGCCTCTTGTATAGAAATCAGCTGCATAGATTGATTTACTCAGACATTTAAAGGCATCTTTGATTTTTATATGATTTCTGAAGGAAAATATAATCTGAGTCATTGTCTGTCTTCTGTCCTTCATCCTTACAGAGGCAAATGCCATCTCCAGCCCTCCTAACCCTCTCCCTTCTAGAAGAGCCCACTCTTTGACCACGGCTGGGTCCCCTAACTTGGCTGCCGGGACATCATCTCCCATCAGGCCAGTGTCCTCCCCTGTGCTGTCTTCTTCAAACAAGAGCCCGTCCAGGTGGGGCCTTAACATGATACAACAGAGGAACCCTCACATCACTGAAGTTATGTGCTAGGGTGTATTCTAGTTGTCTATGGGAAGACTACCTTTAAATTTGACTTACAATTAAATTGATATAAAAAAATTTTAAATGCCCCTGATTTTCCTAAATTGTATATTCCTAACTTCTCATATTACTATATCAATACCAAAACCCAAACCCAAACCCTGTTGCCATCAAGTAGATTTCAACTCATAGTGACCCTATAGGACAGGGTAAAACTGCCCCATAGGACTTCCAAGGAGCAGCTAGTGGATTCCAGCTGCTCACCTTTTGGTTGGCAGCCGAGCTCTTGACCACTTCACCACCAGGGCTCCATATCAATACCAGTACCTATAATCGCTCCTAATTATTTGAGAGACCAGTCCTTCAAAGGTCAGTAGCAGGAACAAAACTCAAGCTGTGATTCTCTAACTCTACACTGTCCAATATAGTAGCTGCTAGCTTCATGTGGCTATTTAGGTTTAAATTAGTTAAAATTGAAAATTCAGATTTGGCATCAATTAAGGATAATGGTTGCGCAGCATAATTAATGTAAGTTGTACACCTGAAAAATGTTGTATTGGCAGATGTTGTGTTATATATATTTTTACAACAATTAAAAAAAAAAACAAAAAACAGAAAAGCCAGTTCCTCAGTCACACTAGCCACGTTTTAAGTGCCCCATAATCACAAGCAGAGCTTGTGGCTACCATGTTGAACGGCACAGCTATGAGAACATTCTCATCATTGCAGGAAGTCCTATTGGACAGCCATGCTTGAAATGAGGAATAAATCATGAAGTTTTAATGTAGGCTACTTGATCCAATTTGCTAATGAGTGGAATATATTTTTAATACTTTTCTCATATGTGAGATATGATGCACATGTCTGGAGAAATGAATATAACTATTCTAGCATGTTGGATATAATTCTAAAACTGGTTCTAATAATAAATTATTCTATAAATACCATGCAAATTACAGACTTGAAGCAATATCTGCTCTCTCAGAAGAGATAATATTAAAATGAAAGCCTTTCAAAGGAAACCAGAATGCCACTTCATCTCCCACTGTTGTTATTGGATGCCATGGAGTCGATTCCAACTCATAGCAACCCCATGTGACAGAGTAGAACTGCTCGTTAGGACTTTTTTGGCTGTAATCTTTATGGGAGCAGATCACCAGGTCTTTCTTCCACAGAGCTGATGGGTGGGTTCAAACCGCTAACCTTTCTGTTAGCAGCTGAGTGCTTAACTGCTGTGACACCAGAGCTCCCTTCATCTCCCTCTACCCCACACTAAAGTTTAAGAAATACAGAAGCCCCAGACAGAACCAAGCTAAAGCAGGTCCTCTCACTTTATCTAACAAACGAGTGGAAGGAGGATCCCTGGAAATGGATCTGTGCAGACACTGGCTTTGTAAACGTTGATTTCACACACACACAGATCGCTCTGTCTCTCAAGGAAGCTTGCTATTGATAGGAACCCTACAGTAAATCATCTTTTAAAGGGAAGAATTCTTTCACAGTGTGAGTAATGAACTTATAATTTAGGCTTTATACATTCAGAGTTCTACAACTGGTGAAACTGGATAAGGGCTATATGGGTATTCTTTGTACGACTCTTGCAACTTTTCTATAAATTTATGTTAAAATAAAAAGTTAACCAAAAATCACATTTTTCTTTACATGATATCTTTAGCCTATGCAGTATCTTGGGTAAATAAAATAGCCAGATCAGCTGGATTAAGTGGCCCTTCTCTTTGTTTCGGTCACTCATGAGCAGGGAAAAAAAGGTTCGAGTAAGAAAGGAGAATCTTTTAAAATAGGGTAGAAGTAGAGAAACTAGCATGCTAGGTGCAGGATCGCAGGGCCCAACCACAGGAAGACATGGACCAGGGCCCGCTGAGTTATTCTAAACAAGAAAGAAAAAATAAGGCAAGAGAAGAAAACTCACCCCACATGTGGTTAAAGGGGGAGTAAAACTAAGTCCTAAGTCTAGAATGGGAAAGAGTGAACAAATAAGAGTTCTCTAGAGTCAGAGGGGGATGGTTTGCTATAGACAGTATCTAGACCTGGGACTGGCAGGAAGACAAGGAATTTATCTGTTTAAACACAAATGAAGGAGCCCTAGTGGCACAGTGGTTAAAGCACTTGGCAGCTGACTGAGAGGTCAGCGGTGAGAAAGATGTGCAGTATGCTTCCATAAAGATTACAGCCTTGGAAACCCTATGGGGCAGTTCTACTCTGCCCTATAGGGTCGCTATGACTCGGAATTGACTCGACAGCAGTGGGTAGAAACGCAAATGATAAAGCCACTTTATCTGACCTTTTTCCTCTTCTTGAACTTCCACCCTCTACTTCCCACAGCACATTGAGGACCAACAACCTATGCCAACAAAATACTACAAATCTAATCAGTTTTAATGCTCTTCTATTAATGGAGGTGACCTCCAGACCTCAACACAAAATAATTTTCCATGAATGAATGTTAGCAGGATTTAGGGTAAACTGGGTATTCATTACAGTATTCTCTATACTTTCACATATACTTGAAATATTTCCCAAAAAATCAAAGGCAAAAACCAAAAAGAAAGACCCTGTTTCCTGACTTGAATAAAACCCATGGTCAAAATTTTTCTCTTACTCTTCTGTCAATGAACCAGTGTAGAAAACAGCTAGACTGACGTTTTGACTGAGTATACTGATGTTTTTATATTGAATAGATACAGACTTGGCAGGTACAAAATATAGTCCTAGGCAGAGTTGGCTTCTTTCCACTGTTAATATTTTTCTGACTCACATTTTCCATTAATATTAAAAGCCTTTCCTTGTTTTCGTCTAAGGACTGCTTAAAACAGGAAAAAGAAAAGACAGAATGATACATTCAAGACTTTCTTCCCAAATGTGTTTCTATAATTTTGAATATAGAAAAGAACATGCATGATTTTTTATAGATTATGATTGAGTAATTTGGGACTTTTGTTTTTTCAAATGACTCTTCAGAAACACGAAACTTACGGGGGTTTTTTCTCATTGACTTGTGATTTCAAAGAACTGTTCTGATTAGTGGAAGAATATTCATCTCAGCTTTGTGCCCTTATTAAATAAGCTGCAAATATGAAGTGATGTCAATATATATGTTTTATTTCCTGCGACACAGTTGTAGTTTAATTTTGAGAGAAATGAAAAGAGAGCCCGGAAAATAGCCTGACTTTTAAATAACTCATAATCCGTCTTTTTGCTTATATTGCAAATCAAAAAATGACTATTGGGGCAGAATGAAGAAATCAGCTGGCAGTTTTGCCCATTAAGGCCATGTCTTTGTTGTAGTGCTTGGAGCAGCAGCAGCTGGCACGGGCGGATCAAAGGAGGAATGCAGGGCTTCCAGAACTTCATGGTTTCAGACAGTAACATGAGTTTTGTTGAATTTGTTGAGCTGTTTAAATCATTCAGGTACGACATGCTTTCTCCTTATTCATTTTCAGCCCCACTTGTTCTAACAATACTAAATGTGAGGTGTTTTCCATTCCTTGCTCAGTGTTAGGAGCCGGAAGGACCTGAAGGATCTCTTTGATGTCTACGCGGTGCCCTGCAGCCGACTGAGCGCTGAGTCTGCCCCACTCTACACCAACCTGACAATTGACGAAAACACCAGTGGTCTTCAGCCTGACCTAGGTTTGTTTAACATTCTAAGGTTTCCCTTTGAGACCTTCCTCTCTAGAGGTGAAGTTCAAAAGAGTCCCTGGGTGGTGCAGGCAGTTAAGCGCTCAACTACCAACTGATAGGTTGACCATTTGAACCCACCCAGACACCCCTCGGAAGACAGGCCTGGCCATCTGCTTCTGAAAGGTCACAGTCTTGAAAACTCTATGGAGCAGTTCTACTCTGCACACATGCGGTCACCATGAGTTGGAACCAACTCCACGGCAACTAACAACAACCTCAATTAATGAGACAACGTCCTTCATACCAGCTGCTATAAAATTCAACCAACAAGGGAATAAACTAAAAATGAAGTTCAGAGCTCCAATCACACAAACCTCAGCCTCCCCCACGTCTCTGAAACACTTAGAAAATTATTTCAGGGTGTCATCTGGTATCATTGAGGGCAGGATGCTATTGACATTTTGAGCCAAGAAAGTCATCACTGGATGGGCCTGTCCATGTATTTCAAGATATTTAGCCAGTTGTGCCCTTCAGTCATTTTGACATCCAAAAGTCCTGTCTGGCCCACTTCCACATGTCCACTAGGTGGTTGGTATGGCCCAGTTGAGAACCACCACGGTCTCTTTCCTGCCTACAAGCAGATGAGTGCTCAGTCCCAGAGAGGTTCAAATGGGTGCTCAGTCCCAGAAGATAACTGTCTGCCTCTTTGACAAGGAGATTCTTTAATGACCTCTGCAGGGTACTCCCATCTGAAAATCCAGGACATTTTTCTCAATGTGTAAACCAGAATGCCTAGTTCTTTCATCTCACTCACTATCACAACCACCATTACCATCACTACCCATACATTTTTTTACCACCCATACATTTTTATGCTTGTTATTTTTCCCATCTCTTCTTGCTGGAAACTATAAAAACAAAAACTGTCCTCTTCCATGCAGTTGCTTCTTAAGTATTTAAAAACTTGTATTGTCCTTAAGCTAAGAATATTAACCATTATTAAACCTGAGTCATAAATGTGAATAGCTATGAATTAGTCAAGTGATTACACTTTTAAAGTACAGAAAACAGTAATTTTAAGGGTATATCATCAGTCTTTACAAACATAAAAATACAGAACTGGTTATTCTCAAAAGCAAAGTCCACATTTGGCCTCAAGTCCCCAGTTGAATCGATATCTAGATCCCATCTAATATTGAAGCTCGTGGGATTTTAAGATCATGGACCTAGCCCTATCTTAGTTTCTTTTATTTATTCATTGATTCATTATTTATCCCTTCAACCATGTGAAGCCAGCAATAAGCATTGAGTTGGATGGCTTGTTTGGTCAGATTGGTGAAGAGTTTCTCCAGTTTAGTAATTCCACAATACCATGATCTCCAAAGTGAACTTTGTGAACGATGCTGGATATCTTGTCCATGTTCTCTGGGTGGTTCTGTTTCAGATTTGTTGACCAGGAATGTCTCGGATTTGGGGTTATTCATTAAGAGTAAACAGCAGCTCTCAGACAACCAAAGGCAGATATCCGATGCCATTGCGGCTGCAAGTATCGTGACTAATGGCACTGGGATTGAGAGCACATCCCTGGGCATATTTGGAGTTGGCATACTCCAGCTCAATGACTTCCTAGTGAATTGCCAAGGAGAACACTATACTTACGATGAAATCCTCAGCATCATTCAGGTTTGTACAGATTTTGCGTGTACATGTATATGTAATGCCTCTTACTGTTCTAACAGTTATCTGCTAAAAGTTTACTATGTCCATACTTATTTACAAAGTCCTCAAGCCTGGGACAGAAATGTTGTTGTTGTTAGGTGAAATTGAGTCACTTCCGACTCATAGTGACCCTATGTACAACAGAACAAAACACTACCCAGTCCTGCGCCATCCTCACAATCGTTGCTATGTTTGAGCCCATTGTTGTCAGTCCATCTCATTGAGGGTCTTCCTCTTTTTTGCTGACCCTCTACTTTATCAAGCATGATGTCCTTCTCCAGGGACTGGT